AGAGTTTTTTTTTTTTTTTAGTAGGAAAAAAAAAAAACACAAGCAAAGCGAGTTCGGCTACCAACCCCCAGGGAAATATCAATCAGATATTCGGGGTCTACATATCTATCCATCTACATCTCTCTCTCTCTCTCTCTCTCTCTCTCTCTCTCTCTCTCTCTCTCTCTCTCTCTCTCCTGGCGCCCCAAATTTTGAATCTCTCCTTTTTCTTTTCTCTTGTCGATGAACCTAACTTCTCTTGACGCAGAGGGGTTGAAACTTTTTTTTTTTTTTTTTTGGCTTCATTACATGGATATGCGGGTGGTATTCTGTTAAAATGACCCCTCTTCTGGCGAAAAAAAACGGACCCTAGCGGACTCTCCCACAGCTACTCGAGTTCCATCTCTCACGAGCGATGGCAAGTGAGACGCACCCAGAGAGATACTTCCAACGACGTCTAATTAGTCTGGAACMCCCGGATCGGTGTTTTTTTTTTTTTTTTAGTAGGATCGGTGTTTTCGTTCGGATAAACACCTGTTTTCTGTTTTCCGGAGGAAGATAAAGAGTCTGATGAGGTGCGGCGCAGCACGTCGATCGATGGATTAATTAAATGCATATACTTGTTTACGGTCGTGAGTACAAACAAACACTAGCCGAAACAATCCCCGATGAAACCGATGACCGCTCATTATTCACCGACTTTAATTAACCCATTCACCATCACTCCATTCACCGAATTTAATCAATCCATTCACCGAATTTAATCAATCAATCCATTCATTGAATTTAATCAATCAATCCATTCACCTAGGCTACCAGCCGGGCCGCCCGGGTCCCGGGTGGCCAGCCCTTGCATGGACCAGGGAAGGTCCCAGCAAAAAAAAAAAAAAAAAAAAAGTCCAAAAAATCGGGAAAAAAACTATGTTATGCAGAAAAATAAACTAAACAACTTTTTCCTCAGGGTCACATCGAAATTCTTCACCAAATTTGGAATAAAAAATAAAAATAAAATTTTATTTTTTATTTTTTAATTTTTATAATTTTTTGGCCCGGCCGGGCAAGAGACCCCGGGCCACTCTGGTAGCCTAGCCATTCACCGAATTTACTCAATCAATCCATTCACCGAATTTAATCAATCAATCCATTAACCTAATTCAATCAATCAATCCATTCAACGAATTTAATCAATCAATCCATTCACCGAATTTAATCAATCCATTCACCGAATTTAATCAATCCATTCACCGAATTTAATCGATCCATTCACCATCAATCCATTCACTATGAATCTATTCACCTATAAGACTCGATACATTCACCATTTTGATGAGTGGAAGAAGGCTGGACTGAAAGGATTGGTTCCGGAGTAGGCAAACATCGTGACTTGATTACAATCATTCCGATGTGAAACCGATGACAGCTCGTTGTTGAGCGGGTTTTTTTAATCGATCGGTTCACCGAATTTAGTCAACAATCCATTCACCATCTTTATGAGTCGAAGAAGGTTCGACTGAGAGTGGAGTGCATTGGTTGGGTGCGGAATTGACGCACAACGAGGGGAAAAAAAAACACAAAGGGTACATACATGATGGAGTCTTTAGGATGACAAAAAAAAGAGTTCGCGAATGATGCCCTCTGGAGAAGACTGTCCATCTGATCTTCCCGCTGGTCCAGTACAATGACAGGCACCTCCCGAGGCCTAGCATCCAGCCTCCACTACGATCTGGACTTATATATCGTCAAACACATGTAACACATAATATATCCCAACAGATACGGAGTTGAAGAAAGAAGAAAGGACAAAAAATGAAAAAACGATAAGAAAAAAAGAACAAATTGCTGAAGGGAAAAAAAAATAAAAATAAAATGTTGAACTTTGTTGTGACAGTGGCAATTGGTTTATCTGTGGGATGTGTGTCATTTGCTTTACTTTGTTTGACTAATAGATAGGCCATCCTCTTCCCTTATCCTTTCTTTCTTTGATTGGATCCTTTTCTCTCTTTCTCTTGCCTCTGTGAGGTTTGGTTTCCTCCTTTTCTTGACCTCCTCTTTTTTGCCTTTTGGCTGCCAGTGCGTGCAAGTGGGTCCTTCTGACACACGGGGATGGGGGCAGCCAGCGCTCAACCTGTCATCCACGTGGCTGGCCTTGTAGTACGTAAGAGGTGATGAACAGGCAGAGCTTTCCTTCCTTACTTCTTTTCCAGATCTTGTTTTGTCTTTATCCACCTTTGCGCTCCGATTCACAGTGTGACAACATATATATGTGACGATATATATATTGTAACATTGTGAATCAGAGCGCAAAAAAGGGGAAAGAAAAAAGGAAAAGGAAAAAAGGGGGAGGGGGAAGAGGTAAGGAAAGCTCCACCTGTTCAT